ATCCATCTCTGATCAGTTGATTAAATTTAGTGTGTGGTTTCTGTCTATCGACTTTTTTGGATTCGAAATCATAAGTGTGTGGTTTTTCGATGCAATCTTAAACTACACTATTACTCAATATATTGACAGTGCAACACCATTATGTTATGGCCCAACACTCAAAATATTTTATTGGTAAAGTAAATTTAGATATTTTTTATTTTTCTTGGAAATTTCATGATAAAAATGTTATGCATGCGTTGGAGGTATATGTTATTTTGAATAAGGTTCGAATAATGCCACCAATGAAATTATTGGTACAATTTCGTGTTAATTAAAACCAATTATACAGATTATATTGAAATTATGTACCTAACTAAGTGAGATCTAGAGTAAGCTTAAAAAATTAACATGATTCAGCCTTGTGATAAATTATGATTGAAAACTTAGTTTTAACAGCACAATAGTACCCCCTTGATATATTTGAATATCTAATTAAATAATGTTAGTACCAACCAGGGTGGCAGGGTTTAAAACTCTGGACGACAATAATAATTTATGTAGTACAGAATTTAATTAATTTAATAAACAATTTAATACTATTTTAGGAAATAGTTAATTTTGCCTTATAACTAAAAAATGTATTAAAAACTGTTTTTATTTGTAATACGCCATACTATACCAAAAATGATATAACTTTGAGACTAAACGTTGTCAGAAATTTATTTAGGTTAATTATACTAATTTATTAATGTATTACTCAAGTAATATTTTAGCTTATAGATTTTCAAAATGGTGCCTATTGGATATTGAGTAAAACAAGACTTACCTAAATACAATCCTGTATTCGTGTTGAGTTGTTTTAGTCGCCCTGTGGAAATCGTTATCATTTTCGTACCATTATCTATAGTTAAAGCACTCAATCTCTCATCTCTGAAAAATGAAAAACATTGTATTTTATTACATTGTTTAAGAATTATAATGTTAATTGTTAAATGAGTAAGTTTTTTACTGAAAAATGATATATTTTATATACTTAATTTGCTTTCAGTTGTACATCAATTAATTTAAGAGTTTTAATTTCAAATTAAAAAAAAATTGTTGAAGTTAGTCAATTTCATAATATTTTATGTAATATCGATTCATTTATATAGCTATTGCCATTTATTATAAACTTACAGACTACAATAGAAATTAAATAAATATATAAAATAGTTATTTTATAATTCATGGTGTAAATTTTGTTTAAATACTTATATTTATGGAATTAACTTCAATATTTTGTATATATTATATGTATTAGGTAATATTATGTCGGTGTTTAAAAACATTTCTACAAACCTAGTAAACTTCATTCTGTGCCAGTGTCCATCATTTATAGGTAATCCAGTGGTATTATATCTAAGTACCGTTTCACCACTCCCTAAATCGTAAGTAACTTCAATACGACCGTCTTGTAATCCCAAAGCTAAAAAGTCAGCCGACCTGTCTGACCGCCCGGTCCACAATATGAGTCCGGTAAGTGCAGTGGTCCGGAAGCGCATATTAATATCCAAGTGTCCGTCAGTGATCCTAAAAATAAACCCATGTTTATGTATGATAATAAATGTACCTGTTACAGAGTTCTGTAAAAGGGATAATATTCTCAGATATTCTAAAAACATTTATGAATAATATATTTTACATAGACAATGAATTATTTTTAGTCTTACTAAAAAACTAAAATTTAATAACGATGGTATTACCATTATAATACTAATTTACCACGTTGGTCAGTCATTTTTCAGATTTACATTTTTAAACTTTATAATAATATTATGATCCATCTCATTAAAAAACAGGAAATATTATATTTGTGTACCTACCATAAACTACATTTAATTATTTGTACAAAAAAAAAAAACATGTATAATTATTTGTCAGTATTGTAAAACGCAAGATTAACTGTGAAATATGTTTTTAATTTTAATTTGATAATAATATTTATCATTTAAAGTACCTACCTACAGGGTACCACTTGCGTGATTATCCATTAGGAGGTGTTAGACCATCCATAGAAAATGTGTAGGTGTAATAGTAATAGGCTTAGAACGAATCAGGTATGAAAAAAAATTGGGTTTGGTGATTGTTGGCATGTTTAAAAATGGATTGTTATATACTAATATGTATTATCATTGAGTATGTAATTACAATTATAAATTATGTAGGTATATAATAAATAACTATTAAGTGATAATACTTTTACTCAATGGTTGTACAGCTCATTATGATTTGGGTGTATTATTCATTTTATTTTAAACCTTAAATTGCTTAAATATAGTGTTTAATATATTATGGTCGTTTGGCAAGTGCGCTGCAAATGAAACCCAAATGGTACTACAAGTCTACATAAGTATGGTACGACTATACTGGTACTTTTAGGCAAACATTATTGAGGTAGATTTTTGTTACACAGTGTGTGTGTTATCTATACA